CCCCAAAACCCCAAAACCCCAAAACCCCAAAACCCCTAATGAAAAATATAGAGATACTTTAGTATTTGCAAATAAAAATAAAAATTGTGAATTCATTCATATATTTATCTTAATTATGGACACTAACTGTAACCAACCATTAGTTTATAATTTATGTTTAGAGACTTCAGCCTTATAGAAATACAACCAGGCAGCCAAGAATGGTATGACTTAACATGGTGAACAGCTCTTGCAATGTAAGACTTTTTATATTATTAAATCTATAGAATTAAAATCGAAAAGAAGAGATATGAGTATGGACTCATCACTTAGAAACTTTAGCAAGTAAATTTTCATTATTTCTTCTTTAAGATATTAATAACCTTTGCAGAAACGATTAAATCAAGGCTATCATCATCAAGGAGATGAAAAACGTCTACAAAGTCCCTGAAGCAGTAAGAAATAGTAAAATGGTAATGATTGTAATAGGCATTTTCTGATATGGATTTTAATGGAAAGGGAACCGTTTATGAGCAAGATTTCTTCAAAACTTTGTTGATTTACAGACTTCCATTTTCAACTGAAGAGCTACAGGAGTTCTTTAAAAAGGAAAGAATATTCTAGCAAAGACCCGATGGATCTATGGACTTTGAACTCTTTAAGAAGACTTTTTTCCCTTCAAGAGATCTCAACGGAGGAGGTTAACATGCAGACCATGATCTTGAGGATAAATTAAAGGCAGATGAATTAATCAATATGAAGGATGATAAAAAATCAACCTAGATAATCTCAGATAGAATAAGGGTAATTGAAGAAAAAATAAGATAGAAATTCGCTAACAATTGGACATCTGTAAGAAAAGCATTCTTAGATGTCGATCAAGATTATGATGGTTTCATCACAGCCGAGGACATGGCAAAGTTTTATGGAGCTAGTGCTGACTTCAAAGATATTTAGACAATGCTTAAAAATAGAGATTCAAAACGATTAGGCAAAATTGATTTCAAAGATTTTTGTAAATGGATGGGCACTGCTATTGAGCCTTGTGAGGGCTTCTACTTTAGGCATGACAGTGTTAAAAATCCTCTCTATGAAAACAACATCAGAAAACAGATTGAATAAAATTCAAAATCTGTATAAAAAGTTACTGATTAGCTTATCAATAATAACCTCATGAAGACTGTTTTAGAAAAATTCTAATTGCAATGGAAGAGTATTAAAAAAGCCTTTTCAGATTTAAATAAAGGTAAAACTGGAGCGATAAACCCCAATGAAATTAAATAGTACTTGCAAAATTGGGGTCTTACAATTACTGAGGACCAGTTCAAGGATATTTATGATTTCATAGATTTTGATAAAGATGGGAAAATTACTTATGAAGATCTCTAAAATAGTGTGGGAAAGCACATTTGCCCTGAAGAGTTTTTATATTTCAGATAAGATATTCCACCTGCTAAGTTAAGGACTTGTAAGAGCGAGAACTGTTGGAATTAAACCAAGGGAATGGGTCAATACTGTACTCTACATTACACTATCCTTAGAACTAAAGCTGAGTAATTCATTCTAGGGAAAACTTAAAAGAGACTTGGAAAGGATAAATATTCTTAATTAGTTCAACAAATTGCTTCAAAATCAAATTCTACTACCAATATAATCCTGATGCCATAGCTTGAATCAATCTTGAATTAATTTGGTGTATATTTAAGTGAGTCCGAAAAGAAAATATATATTGAAGGATATTCTACGAAAGCTGATCAATAATATGATTCGATCTAAGTTAGTATTGAAAAAATTACATAGTTTGAGAGAACATAATAACTTGGCAAAATCTACGATCAAGTAAATCTTGAGGCATAAGAAGATGAAGAGGACGAAGAAAATTACAAAGATTTTGATGCTATAGCATCCCTCGGAGGCATGGTCTAGAAATAAACAGCCAAACTTGACCCTATTACAGAGGAGTATCTGATAACTTTAATCAATAGGGACAATAAATTGGCTATCATAGTGAGAGATATTAAGAAAATCGATAAGGACAACAATGGGTATGTTCTCATAAATGAATTAAACAAGATTTTCAAGACTCATTATTAAAGAGAACTAGAAGGAAAGACTCTAAATAAAGTACTAAGGCCTTTCAGTAGTATTTAGAATAAACAACTTATTGATTATAAAAAATTCAATCTTCAGCTATTGCAAAAATTGAAAACAAAAGAATTAGAGAACTATAATTCTACATCTGCTTTAGATCAAGTAGCTAATCTTAAGGAACATATTGATGTCACCTTTAGCCCATCTTCACCAGCTAGTGGATAGAGAATGGGAGCAATCGCCAGTCTATTCCAAGAAAATAATAACACTAGAAATAATATGAGAAAGAGCTTTACTGAAATGAATCAAGCAATAACAAAATAATTTGAGCCGAAGAAAAATTCAGAACAAAAGCCATAATAAGCAATAAGTAAGATTGCTCTAGAACCAATTAAGGCTTATGAACATTAAAATATCCCGAAAACAACAGAAAGTCCAAAAGGTGGTCCTTATAGAATGAAGCATCATAGAGAGAACAGCCAATCACCCTCTCCTCCAAGAGATTTTGGAAACGGACCTGCTAGTGTTTTCGGCGGAAAGTCCTCTGGTTTCGAATCTTTCAGAAGCAGTGTACCAGGTCTTGGGCCTCTTGAAATCATCAAGTAAAGATTAGCATACGAATGGAAGAACATCTATAGAGCCCTTGCAGCAGTTGATATTAACAATTCAGGCTGTGTTACCTCAATGGAATTCCAAAATACTGTTTCAAAGAATAGAGTTTACATGACTAGAGAAGAATTCAAGAAACTTCAGAGCATATTTGGGGAAGATGGATCAGACTTGATAAATTATAACCAGTTGTCACTTTAACTTGGGCTCCATAAGGCATCAATGGACTTCATGCAAGGATCCAAGGCTAAGAACCTTAAAGTAGCTGCCTAAAAGCTGAAGGCGATGCATGTAACTCACAATGGGCAGTTTCTCCTCGATCCCATCTAAAAGCCTCCCATGACAGAGAGGGGCAACCTAATCGGTAAAGGTAGCTTAATGAAGAGCGGGTCCACGAGTGTCCTTCTCAATAATGGGAAAATGGTGACTGGCCCAGCTGCCATCGGACAAAATAAGGGGCTAATTCTAAAGATGCTCAAGAATTACGATATTGACGGTACTGGCCTCGTATCTACTTAGAACTTATCAAAGGTATTCAAGCTCATAGGGGTTCCTCTTGAAAATAAGGTAAGCATTAACTTTAAAACTAACTATGATTTAGAATCTTGATAACTATAAATCTGGTGATTTAGTTAAATATGACCAGTTAGTACAAGAATACTGATAATGAAGTTATTAAATCCAACAATATTTTAAGGGAAGAGATTTATTTTCAAGACTTTATTACATAAATTATTTACAATCCTGATTAAAAGCTTTTAAATGTACATTGAACTCATAGATTTCGATTCTTGAAAGCTGGGGTTTTGGGGTTTTGGGGTTTTGGGGTTTTGGGG